TCCCCGCAGTGGAAACAAAGGGGCCTGTGGTTGGGTGTACGCCAGATGTCACTCTTCCTCGGTCGTGCTTCGGTGATCAACGGCGGGCTGCGAGGACGGAAGCCTACCTCCATTTGCTGAGCGCGTCGCTCATTGGGGTAAAACACGCTGGGTGAACTGCGCGACGGAGGACGTCGCACTGCTTCCGCGTAGCTCATTTCGACGCATTGCCTCTGTTGTGGCACTTCGGACTGTGGGGGAGTGTGAACGGCTTGCCGTAGCTCGGCGCGTACCATCTCCGCAACGGAGAGCTGCTCTACAGGTGAAGCAGTCACCTGCATCTTTTGTAGCTCTTCCTTAATGAGAGCTCTGATGAGCTCTCGCAACGCACTGATGTCATTGCCGAGAGGGATAGAAGTGACCTCACTTGGATGTACACCCCGGTTATACTGCCTGGCACGCTGTTGAAGGGTCCTCTCCATGGCAGTGGCTTCCTCATGAAACTCCGCAAGTGTCCAGGTGGGTTTCGAGTCAGGCCCGCAAAAATCTCTTCTTTAACACCACGCATTAGGTGACGGACTTTCTTGGATTCGGTCACAGAAGGCTCCACACGCCTGAAAAGCCGATCCACGTCATCTATGTAAGTCGTCACCCTTTCGTTAGGGCCTTGAACCCTTGCCCCTATAGCACGCTCCGCTGTCTTTTTCCTATCCCCTCGGGCAAAGACCTTAGGGAACTGCCGGTGAAACTCATCTCATGACGTAAGCGTTGCTTCATGGTTCTCAAGCCACGTTTTCGCGGAGTCCTCGAGAAAGCAGTACACATAGCGTAGCTTACGCTCTGGGGTCCAATCGTTTATAACGGCGACCCGGTCGAAATGCTCGAGCCAGTCGTCGGCATCTTCAAAAGCAGCTCCGTGAAATGTCTTCGGCGCCTTGGGCTGGTTCACAACCAGGTGCGCTGGTGGTGGCACGGTGACGTTAGGTGGTGCTTGGTTCATAGTCCTCTGACGATCAGGCAGCAAACCGTGCTGTGGCTCGAGTCCCTGGATACGACGGCTGGAACGTACGTGCACAAGGGAAAGCTCGGCTGAGCTACTCGACGGGCTTACGTCAGGAATGCTCTCTGGGGACCGTATCATCTACCGTACTGCGCACCTCCACCAGAAAATGTCACAAAAGCACAGGGACGCAGGCACCAAAGCAGCAGCGTTTACTTTCGGGACCAAATTGTCCCGAAAGGCCAAAAGCACGAACACCAGAGCATGCGCCCACAGAACTACTTCATTATCCTCCTCAGAAGTTGGCCACTATTGTTGCCAGCCTATCTTGCTTCACTATTACCTATCTCGAAGTGCTACTGTCTTCCGAGGTTGTTGTACATTACTTTCGTTTTCTGCAGATTAATTTTAAGACCCACCTTTCTGCTCTTCTTGTCTAACTCCGTAATCATGAGTCGCAATTCGTCCCCTGAGTTACTCAGCAATACAATGTCATCTCCGAAGCGCAGGTTACTAAGGTACTCTCCATTAACTCTTATCCCTAACTGTTCCCACTCTAGGCCTCTGAAAACCTCCTGTAAGCACGCGGTAAATAGCATTGGGGAGATTGTACTCCCCTGCCTTACATGTACCCTTCTTGATTGGTATTCTGTTGCTTTCTATTTGAAGCACTGTGGTTACAGTTGATACCCTGTAGCTTTCTTCCAGGACGTTTATATATGCTTCATCGACACCCTGATTCTGCAGTGTCTGCATGACTGCTGATATTTCTACCGAATTAAACGCCTTCTCGTAATCTATGAAGGCTAGAAACAATACTCACTGAATAACATTTCTGACAAAGAACACTCAGATGACTTTCTGTAGAAAAACTTCCACGTGGCCAAGAAATTTTTTCTCATGAACGTGTTTAGCAGTAAATTGTTTTCATTGCAATAAGTTGGCACGATTTTTTATGGCATTTGAGATGATCCCCAAAAGAGCTGAGACGTAATTGGCAAGGAATTGGGAATCTGCTTGCCAAAAGCACACCCAAGTAAAGCTATAGTTAATTAGACTAGATTGATTGATTGTACCCTGAGAACTCTAATGTCATTGATTTCACAAGCATGTGTTTATCAAGAGAAGGGAAATCAAGGTCTAAGTTTCACTTTTAGATTTTGTACCGAAATCTCCACGCATGACATCACACATTTCTTAAGAGTATCTCTCGCATTTTGCCAACATTGGATCATTGAAATTTCATGAACCTTGGCATGGTAACTAACCTATTAGGAAGACAATGTAATTATTTCTTACCTTGCGGATCTATGTATGAACCAGTATATACGCCATCGAAATCTATGAAGTCACGGCATTTGGTGCGGTAATTTTAAGGTGGTGTGACTATCAGCGCTTTTCTTCGTCTAATTTTTTGCTTTCCAAGCGTCCTCTCGCGGTAAAAGTAGTGTTTTGGTGTTACAAAACTGTTGTTTGTGAATACTTGACAAATTGGTTTCGTCTTAATATTGTCCCATTGAATGATGCACGGTGTCATATGACACAGTAGGCCCGTTTGCACAATGTAATGAGTGTAACGCTGGACTCAAGTAGGCAAGTTAGGGGTACCTACGGGAAGGACACTTCAAATAAAGTGCTGTATACCAAACATAAATGATGCAAGCTGATTGCCGCTTCCAGAAGAGTATGTTGCGGTCGGAGTGCATTCTGTGAATGCCCTTTTCTGCCTCTCAACTGCATGCAACCTGTCCGCTATATACTTTAAATGCTTGTATAAAAGGCAGCTGCAATTTTGGGTTTAGAAAGCATAACCCACTGTTATTATTATAGCGACATAAAACAACCACATTTCTATCTCTTTTTTTTGCTTTTTCATCTGCATAATTTACGAAAGACATGCTCAGAAAGTGTCACCATTTCCTCTTTGCTACACTAGCGCACGGTGTTTTCCTGTTTAGCGCTGTGCACCATAAAGTGTCTGTCGGTGTTCCGAAAGCTATTCTGCACAGGTGCAGTTAAGAGGAGGTGTGAGCCAAAACAAAAAGTTTTTTTCCAAATATACGTATTTTAGTTTTTATTTGCTTTCACAAGTTTAGCGTCTCTATACTTTCTCGACAAAGACTGAAAGTTCAAATTAAACTCGAAGTAGCTTAAAATTGCTTTTAAAAAGCACAAGCTGGCTACTAAAAAACTTGAAAAAAGCTCATTTATTAGAGTCCCGTAGAAATAGTCACCTGGCTGCTTGCCATTGCATTTCGTATGAGTTCACTAAAGCCATATGCTTAAGATAATCACAATTTCCAACTCTCATGATGGAAGGAATCATCTTAAAAACATATTTTTCTGCACAGACGACCTTTCTCTACCTTTAAAATGCGTTTTTCTCACGATCCACTTATGGGTAACTTCTTGAGCTTGGAAAATATGTTTTTGGTACTCCTGATAGCGGATTGGGATTACATTTTGCCCACACATTTCTTAACATGTGAAGGATGCAAGTATATTCTTTAAAACTCTATATCGCCTGTACAATTGTTACAAACCTAAAGTGCACTGTTAGCATTGGCTGAGAATTTTAAAAAAAAATTTTGCATTGAAAATTTTTTTGCCTATTAAAATGCCTTATACCCACTTTTTTCATAGTTATTTGCATTATATATTTAATGTAGAGCAATACGAGTCATTAACGGCTCAGAACCATAAAAGCTTAGTGGCAGAAAGAGTTTGTCCAAAAAGGGTTGTACATTAAACATCATCATAGCATAAAACAAAACTGTGCAACTTATTATAAAACTGATTACATATTTGAAATCAGCATAAAATCGTATATAAAGAACGAAAGGTTCATTGCCCTAGGCTACAGATTGAGACAACTTTTTTGTTCTAATTCCATCTCCCCTAAACTTGCTCTTTTGACCTGGATATATGTTATATGAATCTGATATATCTCAGCAAAGAGCTGAACGCATTACCCCATAATTTTAGCTTTGGTCCTTACCAGCAGCGAGTAGATTTTTGATCAAATTTCAATCCTTTACTTTATTATGTCATTATTACATGCAGAACAGTTAAAACCTATGCTATATCACTAAGGGGAGATGTTACACGAATAATGTCATCTTTTGCAAAACTTATCACTTTAACATTTAACTTGGTGAACTAGGTTTGGTCGTTAAAGTTTTATTTTTTTAATTCAGATTAGAATTTGATGAAAGATCGATTTTTTTTTCAGCCCATGCAACTTCAGCCTACAGTGTATGGTGAAATTGATGTAAAGAGGAAAAGAAGCCAAACAGTGGTCGCGCACTTCGTAAACTGCCATTAGCACCCGCACGGGGAAATAAGTTGAAAGATGATGCAATACAAGAGGCACGAAATTGCTATGGAATAGCAATAACCGCCAATCCAGCCATGCAACTTTAATTCTCAACATAGAAGGAAGTCGCCAATTCTGTCCAAGACGTCTGACTTCTGGTGTAAGCAGAGGCAAGCCAGAAATCGTCAGAAGTCCATACCAGATTGCACTCATTAATGCCAACTAATGAACATTTTTGTGGCTACACACCCCACATATATTATAAGCACCTCACAGCTAGATCATCATAATCATCATTTATTAACCCTAAGCATTGCGTACCATAGTCACGTGGACGATTAATATATGTATTCAGTCGAAATAAGGCAAGTGTGCCTCGGCAATGTTTTTTATAGTAAATCTACAATCAAATAGCATTCATTGCACAAATCCTGTAATTTCCCTTCATGAACAGCCAAGGTGGTTGCTGCCCACATGAGCACATTTTAAGGATAATCGTGCAAACAATGTTCAGAGAACATTATCAGGATGCTGCCAAGTGGACGAGGACATATGTAATTTTTGAGAATGAGCATAAGATGTCACTCTTGTCTGGTTTCAAGCTACCATCTTTCTCCAGGTTTCTGCCTTGTTTCGTCTTCAAGGCATGGTCAAACATGTCCTTTATGTGTTCTCATAGCAAAATAAAGACACAGAAACAGACTGTTTTCTTGAACTTCACATGCCAACTCAACTTTAATAACCATTTTTCCATAAAATTCATTCACCACGACATGGGCTCGTTCTCAATCTGAGCACTGACAGCGCCAAGCACCCGGGAGGTGTACCGCAGTTAGCATGGTGAAAAGCTTGCATTTCACACACCCCCGCAGATAACAGCAGCTCCCCCATCCTTATTTTTTTCGGACTAGTTTTCTGGAAGACGTCGATGAAAGCAATAGAACAGAAACATACACGCACACACACCTCTCAAAACACATAAATCTAGATGTGTGTAATATATATAGATATGTATAATATGCACGCCCAATGTCTTATGCAGAACATTCGCACATACAATTGCACCTTTCAGAACTGCAGCCAGTTGTAATGGCATTCACCCTGAATCACTCGAACCGGGTAAGGGACACACTTTGCGTTTGGTCATTTTTGCTGCAAACAACACATCCATCATCACCATCAATCATCATCACACATTTGACTAGTTCAGATGTTCGATAGCAAACATCTGTGACAGGTCGAAAAAACACGTCTAGAGGCCTTAATAATTTAGTAGGAATACAGGCAGGCTGGTGCTACATACACGAGGTACAATCAAAAAGCAGAATACACATCGTGCCACCCAGCACTATTCCACTTATACCCAATCATTCCACGCTCAACAGCCTCCCCCAATTCTCATAATGACAAAGCACACTCCATAAACAAATACTTCACCAGTGCTCTCTCTTGTGGAGTGCTCAGCATTACTACAGAAGGGCTGCATTGCACAGGAACAGCTGCACATGCAGTGGTAACACGTGGCAACTAACTTCTGCAGTACACTGCATCTAGCAAATCAGCAAGTGTCTGCTGTGGCGGACACTGCAGGATGTAGCGAGGAACCAAATGTGCATGTTTAAAGCAATAACCACTAGAGTTCACTTTTCCTGCCAGCACTGGATGACACCTACAACCTCACCAGGAATTGAAGCTGCATGGTCATGAAGATTAAGTCTATGAATGTGCATTCAAAAGGAGGACCATACATCTCAATGAAGACAACAATTTGCTATGTCAATTTGTTTCCTGGCATTCCTCCATGATGATTCATATAAAATGCAGAGCTGCATGTATGTGAACACTGTGCTAGGTCAAGTGAACTGTAGCATTAAGCATTTGAACCATGGCCTCCACACACTGTGTTGTTCGAACTTTCAATGAAATGCTTTCATGTGAACTGCTCTTGATCCCGTATCACATCAATGCTATTAGACAAACATTGTTAACATACAAGTAGCAACGTATTAATGACAAAAAAAACATTCATTTCTCTACATTTAGCCATTTCAAAAAAGTAGTGCAGAACAGATGCAGTGCCACGACAAAAAGCATATTCATTTTTCTCGAATAATTGAGAAACTAAGGCAAGCATTGTAGTGTTTGAGCTTTTATATTGTGCCAGCAAAATAAAGGGAGAAGGGAAAGAGAAAAGACAATATACTGTTTTGCAATCTTTTTGGCCATAAGGCAGTTGAAGCTAAGAGTAGAACATCACTAGAAGAAGATAGATTTCAGGGGTGACCTGATATTATGTTTTTTACCAACTCCAGACATAGAACACTTCGATTGTGACTTTCACAGTGTTATGAATGTCACTACCACGATGGGGCATTTGCCATGGATCCTTTGTTTGGTACTGTAAGTTTTACAAACAGAAAGCATCCATGCTTACACAGTCCTGTAAGCCAGCACGCTCAAGATGAGCTGTGTTTCATTAGCCTGGACATCTTTGAACAACGTTTGGTAATGACACACAGATATGCGAGGTGCCTCGGCTAGCTCTAGCTAAAATTTTAAACTATACAAAAAAAAAGAAACAGGACATTGCTATTCGCATGCCTATACACCATGAATGCAGTGCTCTTAGCATTTAATATGCAAATGACCATAGCATTTGGTCGGGTGAGCTGCCATGACAGGGCAGCGACGACAGCTGTTCAATGATTCACATGTGCCAGCACCACAAGAGATAACCGCTGTGTTTTTTCATTGCTGTTGTGAAATGTAGTGAGGAAGTATATTGTGCGTTTGCGGCACGTTAGGGAGCACTGCAATCATGGCATGCACAGGCATAAAAGTGCACATGTCATGTGCTATTTCTTATTATTTCACAGGCATCTGTAGAAAGTTGAAAACAGTAATACATAATAGATAAAACATTAAAATCTGTCTAACTGTGTGTTTTGAAAACGGATCTACTACCTTTTTTGTTAGAATACACATACCTATGTGCGTCTGACTGTAACAGAGAACTTGCACAAAGCATGCAGTGCACACCAACACCTTTTGTTTACAGAAGCATGGTCAACTTTCAGAATTCAAGCTTGTCCTTTCTCATGTACACCAACTAAGCCATCCTTCAGTATCTTGTCACTAAGATTGGCAATAGCAGGATAACCTAGGTTGCAAGTATCAACTAAGCTCCTAGGTTTGCATTCCATTAATCAAAAGGTCTATTTATATATGGTGGCCACTAGCACCAACTGAGGTCTCATGATAATGTGCAGTGGTGTATGTTGATGGACAGTTTTCTTCCTTTCAGCTGGATCTATAGGATGTGCACAAAGTTCAGGTATCCAGGGCATAGTGCAGAACTCATTTTGCAAACACTCTGCCAAGGAGTGAGGAAGATGTCATAGAGAGAAAGATCAATCTTCAGGTTTGTGTAGTTGATCATCACACTATTCTACACCAAATGTAGCAACCAACCTCACTAATTGTAAGGCTTCCTCCACAGGACAATGCGAGTAAAAAGACCATGCAGCCAGCATTAGAAGCATGACCTGGGCGACAGCATTTGCCATCTTGACGATGGTTTCTTGAGAGGGCTGTTTGCACATAGCTGGCAGGATACCTGCTATGTGAAAGTTGCTTTTCTGAAATAAGTTCTGTTTGTGCTAGAATTTTATTATAAATAAATGAGCAGATAATTTACAAAAAACACTGCCAGGGATATTAATTGAAAATTACAGCTACATTTCCTTCTTTTTACCTCTCCTCTCAGAACACGTCAATTCTGGTGTAACTACGTCATCATGTAATAAAAGGCCATAAAAAATGTGCTAGAAAATCTGCAAATGCTTTAAAAGCAGCAGAATATCCACAAGAGAAAGTTAGTATTATAACTGATTACAGGTATAAATTTATGTTAGTTAAATTACTTTAATCAAGTTGAATTCAATTGCAGTTACTCCATTGATCCCTTGCTGGCACTATATCACGCCTCAAGAATGCATCACCCAGTGAAGCAAGTTGCTTCACATTCATAAAAATCCAGTAAGTATAATGTCCATTGTTGCACACAAGAAATGGACAAAATATGGCAGATAAAATATTGAATGTAAATGCAATGGCACTGCACAACAAAAGCTCTGAGACAGTGATCAAAGGCTATGTCACACTTGTATGTGCAGTACTAACGTCTATGCACTTTAGCAACAACACAGGAGGTAAACTGCTGTTACAGTCTTGTGTCATGCAACATCTTAAAAAGAACTTGGGTTCCTAATATTAAATGTACTGAATTATACACAGTACTAAAATGTAATGAAGTAACAGGTAAATGTATACTTTGTGCTAAACATTTATATTACAGTACTGAGGATGCAGGAACCGACTGCAAGACTGTTTTCTATGAATTACATGCTCTGAGACATGGAAATGCACGCAATCCCCAAATCGTTATTCTGATAATACATTCGCTGCTTTTCTTTTTGCCAATGTTTAATTATATTCAATCAACACATTACTTTATAAATCAGCATTTTAAAAGGTAAACAGTAAAAAAATCTGGGTAGCACATTAAGTTTTAACACCCAAGAAAACGTAGCCGCCTGAAGCTTGAACGCCTTTTGAAAGCCGTTAGTGAGAGCCGTTAAGAAGTATAGAGAAAATGAACACTTAGCATCTTGTCTTTATTCCTGCCTCACCAATTTATCAAAGTAAAACTTGCTGTGGTACTGCTACAGCTTTGTGCAGACAAGTGTGAGATAACTTTTAGTGGCTATGGTCAAAATTCACCAGAGAAAAGATGCATAGTGACAATGAAAATTCCAACAGCCATGCAATGCCATCCTCAATTGAAATGTAAACTAAATAGAAAGATATGTTTCTAGCTATTCCCAAATAAATGCTTACAGGAGCAACATCTAGTTCAATTTCTTTTTCTGCCTCCAATACTCGGAAATGTTTTTGTAACTCTTGGATATGGCTGTTGAAGTATAGGTGTCGATTCAGATAGGCGAGGCTACTATCACACCTAATAGCTACTCCTAACCAACAAGATCTCTTCAAATGCAAAACTTATAAATTCATTAAGACAGCACAATTTCTAGCTTTATAACCTAGTTTATGTGCAATGCACTACAGCTGTACAAACAAAAGCTAATAGCTCCATGAAGTTGTGCTAACAGAATACAGTAGACTCCCTTTAAGACGATATCGAAGGGACCACATTCATTTGTTTGTGGTCCCCAAAAACCAAATACTAACATATACCAAGTATGCCCAAATATGTTGCTTGAAAACACTGAATGAGTTATACTTATAATGGGGAGAAAAAGAACAAGAAAAAACATTGTTTGGCTCAGCTTGATAAAAACTGTTTTTGTGTAGAGTATTTAGACTAATCTAACGAGCACTGGATATTGTGAGTTCATAATAAATATGCTCATGAATAAACTACTATCACATTTTAACAATAACGCTGTTGCACGACCTTATTTTGACAATTAGAAAAAAATAAAAAGAGAGGGACAAGCACAATTTTTCTTGAAAGAGTAGAAAATTTATTCTTCTGACTGTTCACCTTCTGAGAGGCTGTTTTACTGGCTTTGCTATCACTTTAGAATATGCCTCCATTGCATAATGCTACCTTGACTAAGCCAATATATGCCAAGTTACTTATGAAAGTCTCCAAGCTTTTCTTTGAGGTTCGGAAATTTATGTTATTTTCATGCAGCAGTGATTTTTCTTGGACGACATGCAGCTGAAGATCTCTGTTTTATGCTTCTCGTGATCACAAGCCTCAAACACAAAAAAGACACAACGCAGCTATATTTAGTGTGGAAAACGACCTTGCTTTGTCGTGCACTTTCATAATAAAAATGACGCATTACAATTTGCTCTGCATTTCACTGGGAATAGATACGATGTGCACAGGCCCAATGCAAAACAATGCAAACTGACCAAAAGTGCTCAGGAACCATTTTGTGGCAGCGATGACTATCTGACTCCTCTGATAGGAGTGCTAATGCCGCATATGTGGTTTCCATTTCCGGTGATTATAAGGTACAGACAATCTTTGTTCCTGTTTTCACTTTCATTTGGCCTTTTTTTCGATTCCCTTCTCTTACATTTTCCTGCCAAGCCGAGCTCTTGTGTTCTTCTGTTCTCTACTGTACTCCTGTTGGGGAACTGAAGAAGGCAATTACAATGCAAAGGGACGAATGCTTTTTATTGCTTTCTTTGCTGATAAAGCTGGCCATTTCTCCACCTACAGGCTAGGAGTTAGGGAGATACTAGCTTTATGTGCTGACCTTTCCTTTCCACTTATCTCATTTTCTCCCTCAACATAGCGATTCGCTTTCAATTTGGTTTGAGTCTTTGTTCCAGGAATTTCTTTTTTCATTTTGCTTTGTCATGTTCCCCTGAATGCCCCAATAAGGTTCGTTGCACAGAATCCCCGTCATTGTTGGTTGCTTTGATAGTTCATCTTAACAGAAGAGACCTGTTACATTGTTCGTCTTAAGCAGATTTTTCTTTTTTTGCGTTAAGTCTATGTGAAACCAAACAAATGCGCCTATGTAGTTGTTCTTAAGCAAGAATTCGTCTTAACAGAGTTCGTCTTAAACGGAGTTTACTGTATATTCAGCAAAATTAAGGACACAAATTCTTTTTTCTCAGTTGGAAGTAAGAAATTTGCCCCCGAGTTTGCCTGTATTTGCTTTTTGAACAACAATGACTGAGCGGCAACCACAAAAGATACTTTCATACATGCATTTCCATTAAAGATAAGAATAGCCACAGTGTGTGCAGTTCAATGCTACTCATCAGTACTCACACTCAAAATGCATGAAACAGTGGAATACTTCAAGAAACAGCTTACGAGAGTTTTTGCTATGCATACACAAAATAGGCTACATGCAAATGCACTAACATAGATACATGGATATACAAGTATGTATACTATGTACATAATATATGCCACATTACATTATCAGTGTGCTAATGCTTACATTACGATTCAGGTATTGACCTGGCATAAGTGCTTTCTTTATCGAGCTAACTCACTGTCACCATAATATATCAATAGAGTTGGAACCGGCAGATGAAACAATCCAGTCCTTGGTGCTATTGTTCGTAATTCATGTTACACTATCTCTTTTCAGCCAGTATTTTGTTACTTGTGTCACTGTTGGGCAAAGGCATGAACAATGTTCCTCCCATTCAGACTTGGCCCAAAAGCATGCACTACATGCATGCTAAAATAACAATAGTATGAATTATGTTCATGTGATGTGTACTAATTTAATTAACCCTTTACAGCCACGTAACGGGCCCCTTTTGATAAGCAAAAATATCTATTTTGTTAATATGTTGGAAAGAGTGCAAGGTGCACATTCTTACAGGTTCCATTTTCCCCTTAGTTTCTGTTGTCAAACCTTCTGGAACCATTTTTAACTATCGTACCGCATGCTACAGAACACATGCATACCAGGATATTTTTTTATAGTGGCAAACTCACGGAAACTTGTATGTATTTTTGAAGATGTCAAGCACTGAGATAATGGCAATGTAAATATTATAGATGTGTAAAAGAAGTCGAGCAAGTTAAGTGAATCTGAAGATGATCTTAGTGCGAAAAAAAAAAAAAAAACATTTGGTCTTCAGAAGACCAGAAAGCATACTTGCATGAGAGCGCTAAGGAATAGAGAAACAATGAATCCCTAAGAAACTGACGCCCATGGTGATCACATATACTATGTCACGCTGACTGAAGACAGTGACTTTCAAATAAACGTAACCTTCTCTAGTAAGCCGCTATGCATATGTTCACATTAGTGTTTTTTCAGTTTAGTGAGCAAAACATATAGCATTGTTTATATGAGGAACAAATGCAAAGTGGGCAGATGCTCATGGCTGCAAAGGATTAATAACTAGTAAGGCCAAAAGTTTGCATGGGTGAAGCAAAATAGTCAAAAAGGCCCGACTTCAATAGAAACCATGAATAAATGTCTCTGACACCAGTGTCCACATTTGACTGAATTTGTAAGTCACATGCAATACCATCAAAGAGACGAAGAGTTATATACAAGAAGCTTCAAACTGTCGGTGGGACAGCTGGGAGTGCACAGTAGTAATATTTACCTAGCATAGCAATTAAATTCTGCTACTTAAGGTAGATAGTAGTGAGCGAGCATCCCAGCAAACACTTTGGTAGCCTCTAAAATTGCTCAACAAGTTCCTGATTATAATCAGGTGTCCATAAATGCCAGAGTGCAAAGATGAAGATTTTTTATGAAGGGCATGCAGTCATGAGATTATGAGATGTACCATGGCCACCACTTGAACTTTCACGATGTTTACACCGTTTGTGAACACTGGTGCCATAAATTTTACCCATGCTAAATGCTAGTTTAACACAACCCTGCCCCAAAGTTTTCTTTCCAAGCGATCTGACACAAACAAACAAAAAAAGCATTTCAATGACTGCTACACTGCCAAGTCCCGATAATTGCAGGAAGCCATTGTACACCTTTCAAAATAATGACACCATTCCACCTGCTGAGCACTTTAGCAGAACAGAGAGCATTGTGTTCATTTTCCAATCACAACAAAGCACCGACACCTATAATAGGCGTTTCCATAAGCACAGAGAAGCTCCCAGTATTTACGAGGTCAGAAAAACAAAAAAAAGACCAGTTTTTTAGGCTGTTCCTGGTGCCAACTCTCCCATTTCTGTTGTTGCACCTGAGCTGTCTGCACTGTCAGTAGTTTGGGCAGTGCAATAGTACTTCTTGTGTGCAACAAATGTTGACAGATAGTTGAACGAAATGTCACATGCTTTACAGTACTTGGTTGCTCCATGAACTTTGCTCTTTGGTGTTGGCACGGATGGCTCCGGTTTTATTGCAGCAGAAGCATCAGTATCAGCTGAGTTAGTTGCGAGAACATCCACCAAAGTAGCCTCAGCAGCAGCTGGTGAGTTACACACTGCAACTGCAACATCTGACTGCTGTTTGGCAGAAGTTTCTATGGCAGCATCTTCAGCATCTGAGACTTCTTCCACTTTGACTTCTGGTAGAGGAGAGTGATGTCCTTCATTTGTTGAAGAACGCGGCTTCTCAGTTGTGGAAGAATGAACCGCAGAAGTGGCAACTACATCACGATGTACTAGCTTGACGTGGCGCACTACATTGCCTTTATAAGAGGAAGAGTAGCCACAGAGGTTGCACCAGTGAAGAAGCTCTGTTGGAGCAGGATGATGTTCTTCACATCCTCTCGAGGTTGAGCTTGACTCTTCTGTCACAGTAGTAGCAGTAGGAGGGCTACCTGAGCGGGCAGAAGCTTCTTCTGTTGTTTCACTGTTGTGAGGAAGAGTAGGAGTCACTGCTGCAGGCACTCCAGCTGCACCATTCCAAGGACAAAGCGTGTTTCCATCTGCACCAACACAAAGAATGAGAGCTTCTTCTTGCATCTGTGTTCCTTTTTCTAAGTGCATGCGAACGTGAGTGCGCATTCCACGCAGTGTATGGCCTTTGTAACCGCATTCTGCACATCGAAATGCCCTCACTCCTGTGTGAGTCACTAGGTGACGCTGCGCAGCAATTTGCGTTGGACAGAAGACATCACAGTAGGGACACTTGCGCAGGGCAGCAGAGCAAAGATGCTGCTTCAGGGCGTCTTCTGTTGGATAAGACAGTCGACATCGTGCACACGAAAACTCAGTCGGCCTTTTGACAGCAGCAACACCCACTTGGCCTTTTAGCACATCTCTCTTTGGACAGTAGTAGGTCTGGTGCGCTTGAAGGTTGCTAAGGGATGTAAATTTAATACCACATGCAAGGCAGTAAAACTGGTAGAGTGGTTGAGGTGGTGACTGAACTCCAGCACTTCTTTGGCCAAAGACGTCAGGAAGAGCGGGAACTGGTGAAGCACTTGCATTGGCTGATGGCGAGCGAGACACAAGCTCTGATGAAGATCCTTCATCCCCAGATGGTGAAGACAGTCGTCCCAATTTCTGCTGCCTTGAAGCACAGTAATGGCGCTTGTGAGCCAAATAATTTTCATGTTTGTAGAAGACAATGTTGCATTCACGGCAGCGAGAGGTTCCTTGTTTTACAAGTACCTGTTCACCAAGTGCCAGGAGTGGATCGATAGTACTGACTACAACAGCAGATGAGTTCGAAGCTTCCTCTTGCTGAGCAGGGACTGGTGAGGAAGGGTTCTGCGGGGACTGTCTAGCCTTGGTCTCCTTCCGAAGACTTAAGTCTAGTGGTGTCTCTGTCACATGCTCCTGCTTAATGCATGGTGAACTGGCTTTGCTGGTGCTAGAGGCCACACTTGTAGCAGTTCCTTCAGTGCTTGGTTCCTTTGCTTGTGAACCATTTTCCTTAGTTTCACATGGCTCAGCAGAAGTGGATGCTGCAGGGGTCATTGAGCCGCCAGATGCTACCAGGGCTGCTGGTGCCACAGCAACAGTTTGAGGGCAAACTATTGCTGGAGCCACAGATGGAGTTGCATCTTGCCGTAGAACTCCCCCTGTTGTAGGAACGAGGCCATTTCCAGGGACGTAAGAACATGGAACAAGGATCAATGGGTTTGTGGATATTGCTGCGAATAATGGCTGGTTAAGCAGGACCTGCTCAGGTGCAGTTGGAGCTATGGACACCGTTGGCACTGGAGGTGGGGCAGGGGCAATGCTTACAGGAGCTTTCTGTACATGCCGTGTGCCACAATAGAACTGCTTGTGTACAGTAAATGTTTTGTATGAAGAGAACTGGATGTCACAGTTGGCACAATATCGAGCACTTGGAGGAATTGAGATGTCTTCTGCAGCTGCAGCTGGTGGTGCATCAGCAGTATTGGTTGGGGAAGAAGGTGAACCATGAAGCCGCATGTGGCGTGTAAGGCTCCCCTTTCTGTCATAAGCATAAGAGCAGTACTTGCACTGGTAAGTACGGCTGTTCTTAGGAGATTTGCTCGTAGTTGAAGAAGTATCCGAGCTAGGGGGTGACAATCCATCCTCCCGGCGAGGACGCTTGGCTGGGACAGCACATGCTTCTGTTCCACTTTCACCATTCTCTCGTGGTGATGAACCTGTGATGATTATGCAAAAGACCAAATTAGTTGGCAACCAGTGTAGCCATTTAACTTTTAGAATGCAGGGAAACTTGATGCCTACACATAGTACCTCTCTTCAATATTTATTCAAGCCATAGTAGTGTTACATACTATAATACTATGATAAAACAGTCATTTCCACTGTTTTAACAGGTTTTATCAAGGGCAATACTTGGGTATTTTGCACTACAAGAGCTTTTTACAAGAATACCTAAGGGGAGATGTGGGTCGAAAAACGTGAGTTTTTTTCCAAATTACCAATTTTTTATTTTTGCCTGCTTTGATAAGGTTAGAACCTCTACTATTATGAAAAAAAAAAAAAATACAGGTCAAGACTTAACTGGGAATACTTTAAAATTGCATCTAAAGAGCACAAGGTGCCTGTCAAAAGGTCCAAAGTGTGCAGTCTTTGAGCACCTTTCCGCCGATAATGCCCCGCCGCTCGCCATTGTTGACTGTATTAGCCGAAGAGTCGAGCCTCACTCTTCAAAAAACAACAGTTTCCTTTGCTGATCTGACGCAAGAACTAACAAAAAGAAGCACGCTTCTGCACGTTTTTTGAGTGCCGCGACTGGCTTATCACGTGGTACGGATCAAGGACCGCCATTGGCCGCTGCACGCCTGTATGTGCTGTGAAGCCTATTTGTGGGGTCCATGTCTTATCGAGCAGCGCAGCTGAACAATGCTTTTCTCATGTAATTATCTCCATTATGAATGAAAAAAGCATTGCTCGCAAGTGAAAGCTGTTGTGCAGTGCACTCTGTAGGAATAGGCTACGAGCAGCTAGTCCGATTTGTGGCAGTTGTTGCCTTGCAAAAACCAATGCATCAAAACTCATTCACACCCGTCAGCCGGAAAGTTCGTGATGCGGCAATGGATGGTGTCAGCACCAATCTTGCGAGATCGAAACAGCTTGCAGTGAGAGAACTTAGTAGGGACAACATTGCCTTTATGTATGACGGTATGTGGCACAAACATGGCCGCAAATTGGCATGACACTGGACTTAGTTTGGATTTCGCAGTCCTGTCGAACTTCTTTCTAGCTTGCAGTTGGCACAAGGCTCTGCCAAATGGAGCGGAAGTTTGGCAAGCGTTTCATGGCCCTGTCTGTGAGCGAAATGTCTGTGAGGAGTTGGCTCGAAAAAGCCGAGAGGGAAAAACTCATGGGGCTGGGGTATTTTAGCTGCAGTGGCCACTACAAGAAGGGTTGTTCTTTTTGGTGTACAAATTTCATCAGATTTAATGATATCTTTCATAAATAAAAACTCAATTTTAACTTAAAAATTGCCACTTTTTTCAATGTGCCCATCCTTATTCAGGCACTTCTAGTGCTCAGATCTGCATGAAATTTTGCCCAAATTTTTTGCAAAGTATGGCGAATGCAATTATCTAGCTTAAATTTCAATATTCTATAGTATAATAAAATTTCGATGTAAACCTTTACTAGGGTAGGAGAAATATGGACTTTTTACGTCTATTATTTTCTACGCCTATTACATATTTTATATGTGCTTCCTAATTAGTTATTTGAATTCTACACTTTATTTCAACCATTATGAACTATGAATAGTAAAAAATTACAGAAGTTTAGGGATGAAAAGAGGGGGGCAAAAGGATTAAGGTGTTCACTTTGTCATTTCACACAGCTAAAACTAAGCAACTTGCTAGAAAAGTAATTATATATTTTACATCAGCATAAAAAGTTCCATAAAAAGCTCAAGCTTCATAGCTCTATGATGAATATTAAAAAAAAGTGTTTCGAGTAGCATCCCCCCTTAACACTAAAGCAGGGTCAAAATCTGCTACATTTAAATTAAATGGCCATTTCACCCAAGAAATATTGATCTTAGATTAAGTTAGTTAAATCAGATGGTACAAAAGCAACCACAGCAATGCTGTACCAGTCACAAGGCAATGAATGATAATCAATGAAAGCTGCTTTGTTCTAAAGCTTACTTAAAACTAGTTTAATTCAAAAGACTAAGACCATTATACACAAAAATAAGTGGATTGTCTCCCAGAATAAGGCTGGGGCAGAGACGCACACATTTGCTCAATTCATGAAAATATTTCTATCTTTGGGTCACAATGCAGGGGCATGTGGTTAGGATATCTATGACTGCTAAGAGCTACTAAAATTTTTCTAGTATTGGTTGTTCTTGTTTTTTAAGCAAATGATAATGTGTGAAGTGGTTGACCAAATTCAGAGGCAGCATAATAGTATAACCATCATAAAATGTTCTTGGTGGCAGGATGTCCTCCATTCACTAATTAGGGGCTTTAATAATATTTTGATAACAAAGCCAGGCAAATTGCTCACTTTTAGAAACATTTTTATTTTTGTAACTAGTTTCAGTACTGCTAAAGAATAAAATTCACCAGCCTTTTTATTGTCTGGTATCGCCCTGTGACTGGAGACGCAGCAGAAGTGTACAGATGTAATGTCACTGATAAACATAACCTTTTCTAATAAAAAATGTTTCTAACATTTCACAAGCCATTTTTTCCCTACTTTTGCCAAGAATTTTTGCTCACCGGAAAGACTGTTCACAATGTGAGCACACCATGCAGTGGTCAACAAGATGACTTCCCTCCTTATTATTTAGATTTCTTTCATGTTCCCCGAGTCAGCTTTTGAAGCAGAAAAGCAGGTGCGGAGTGTGTAAGCAACACTTCTATTGCACATTACAATGCTGAAATTAATTTTTTTTCAGGCCTTGTTTGATTTTTATTTTCTTTTTTTTTGTGTATCTGCCTTCAATAAAATACACTAACACATAATAAAATTAGGTGTTAGTGTATAAATGTGCTAGTTTGTTCTCTCCTGGTGTCCTGTCTAGTTGCACTAATCATGATAGTTTCTATATCCAAACACAAACTCGCCCAACAGTCAACTCTTTTAAAGTATGCATTAAAATCAACTTCATTGTTCCTTTAGACCGACATGACATGCATACTCCTGATGAGTGTATAATGCGCCAAGTTGAGCTATGTATTTGTAGCATGTCTTTTCGTGCTGTGCATGTGGAAATTATACCTTTGTGGGAACAAAACAATTTCTCACCTTTCACAGAATTGCACCGACCAGGAATAAAACTGTAGACACAGAGCCAAGCAGTACTTAATTGAATGAGTACTATAGTTCTGGTACTCACGTTGGCCAGGTGAGACAGGTGGCAAGGAGTCCTCAGTAGCCTCGATCTGTGATCGTGCTGGCATAAAGGCAGCCTTCTCACCTCGCTGAGAGCAGTAGAACGTTTGGTGGGCTTTTAGTGTTTTACCACTGCTGAATTGGATGCCACACATGCCACACTCGAAAGCTGTAAATATTCAATAGACAACTTCAACAAGCAATACAAAACCTTTAAAACCTGAATAAGCACCTAGCAATTCATAGTAGACTTTTTTATTTGAATTATTCATTAAATGCTCAGAGTTGCACAATGTTATATATAGGAGTAAATGCACAAAAAAACTTTCTAGTGCTGTTTCAGCATTGTCATGGGAGATCGGAAACAGCTCTAAAGATCAATACAAAGTATTATTCTCTATGTACATAAAGAAACTAATAAACAACACTGAAACCAAATAAGCATAATGGGAAAAAATTTTATAGTAAAGCTCAGACTAACAATACATTATGTTATAAGCCAGGGCATCATCATGTACCATAACGGATACTACAGTTCTGTTTCATGTACTGTTAACCACTTTCACCACCACAAAGAAACTTTCAGTGTCACATTGGCATAAAGAAGGATTCAACTATAGCCACACAAACTTTTTGCGAGCCCCGTTGCGGTGGTCTAGTGGCTAAGGTACTCGATTGCTGACTTGCAAGTTGCGGGTTTGAGTCCCGGCTGCGGCGGCTGCATTTTCGATGGAGGCGGAAATCTTGTACGCCCGTGTGCTCAGATTTGGGTGCAGGTTAAAGAACCCCAGGTGGTCGAAATTCCCAAAGCACTCCACTACGGCGTCTCTCATAACCATATGGTGGCTTTGGGACGTTAAACCCCACATATCAATCAATCAACTTTTTGCTAAAAATCTGGGCTATGATGCTCACAAGAACAAACATTTGAATTTTTTTACAATGTGTAAAAGTGGTTTTTGCTACTTTTGGTTAATTTCTGCCTGCCATATTGCTTGAAAAACCTGAAAGTCACACCACATAAAGGAAAAGTACCTCATTTTCTATTCGAATTTCGCCCCAATATGATGTCAATTTTTAGGCAACTATCGTTTGAACCACTTTTCATAAGTTATGCACCTCACTTCAATTAATATGATTTTCGTGCTTTTTTTACCCTTCCTGCAACTGCCCTGGACCTTCGCATTGTCAGCAATATTCTGCAAAGTATACTTTTTCAAACTTTCCCTCAACTCCAATGTAAAGCAAAGCTTTCTCTGAGGAACCAGATTGGTTGTGATGTTACTGGAGAGTCAGCAGAGGAAGCTGAAAGAAGGGCAAGGTAGAAAAAAGCTAGGGTATATGCTGCTTATTTGATTTAAGTCAGTGATGACATCACTCCTACTGCAGCGGATGCAACAACATATTGGATGTAGCATCTCAGTGATGTGCTACATAGACGCCTCAGTTGACACTTGGGACACTCTGTTTGAACCCCAAGATGACACATGAAGAGCACAGGTATAGAACACAACACGAGCACAAACTAACTGTTTACACAGTGCAGATAACTTTACTGTGTAATGCTATAGGGAACATTCCAAGTGAGCAATCCATAAGAGTAAAGAGTGATCTACATGAGGTGCTGCTTTAGCCAAAATATGTGAAAATCGCCAGCCTCTCATCTTTCAATAGTGAATCGTTTTAGACCTTTTTAAGTGAACCTCACAAAACATATTGCTACATGTTCACTGTAAAGGTGCTTTTTTCTTACTGAGGACGTCCACATGTATGTTTTATCTTAACAGTACCAGTATCATACATTGTGTAAATCACAGGTATGGCAGATGTCAGTAGGAGGATGAGGGCAGCAATCAGTTGCATTTTTTTTGCTCTTTACTGAAGGCCATGCACAGTCCCATCATTGGTTATTCTTGTAGTTGGCGTGCCCTAAAGGCATTTCAATAGAATGACAAAGGAGGGATTAGGAAGTGCAGTAGAGGAAGTAAAATAAGAGTCGAACAGAATTGCAATCTATTGTGATGTCAGGCTAGCAAGGAAGAAGTTTTAAAAGCCCTAATGAGAGAGATCAGCCACTTCTTATTTCTACAGAAAGCTTCCGAAAAGGTTGCAAACCAAAGCTACTCTATCATATTGTTTTGCTTAAAGTAACTGGAACTTGTACAAGTTTGTAAGAACCCATGAATGGACTTGAAGCTCAAAGAAGACAACAGAAGAAGGTAGAACAAACAGGATGAGCATTAAAAACATAGCACTCCTACTGTCTCTTCCACCTTCTTGTGTGATTATCGTCGTCATTACGATCTTTGCAATTCAAAGTAAACTCATGGAGTGCTCAGTTGTATGAAAAGCTACTGCTGACTAGGGAAAAGAGGAAGTGCACAAAATAAGAACAGCCTGTGATTACCTTGACTTTATAAGTAATCTTAGCTGTTATAATATATATATATATATAAACTTCGATATAATGAAATTGACTTGACCAATTCCTGAAAAAAATTTTGTTATAACGAGGATCTCGTTATATGCCGAGCCGGTACAAAAATTTGAAAAAACAAAGGTTGAAATTAAATAAAAGGGGAACTGAAGGTAGAGCGCACTCAAAAAACTTATTTAGCAGTAAAAGAAACTGCGTTATTATTGCGATAGAAATTAAATAGACACTCTTGACGGGTACTTGCCATCGCCGCCATGTTGCGTTCATAACAAGTCCAAATTGATAACATGCCCTCGCATCATAACTTCTACTAGCGGGTAAAAGCGCGCGAGCGCTGCTGAAGCAGTGTTCAAACGAGCCGGCCCATCTTTATCGCCTGGAAGGCGCATACGACAACACCCCCCCCCCCCCCCCTGCGTGTTAGAACTGCCGTCGAATGCCCAAACAGAAGGAAATAATTAACCACCCGTCTTGTTCTACGAGCATGAAAAAACGCAAGTGGAGGGGGGGGGGGGTCGCTCGAGTAGCAACAATGAACTTTGGTTTTAAGGGCGCGGTCGCGATTGCTGGGCTTGTGCTACTTTGGCAAGCATCAGTCCGATTTCATGTCGAAGAGATCGACTGTGTGAAAACAGCACCTCTCCCTGGAGTGGCCATATTTGCTTACACCAGCGCTTTGTAGGAATTCCACAATATTGGATCCAAAAAAGTTGGCTGCCAGCCTTAGAATTCGTATGACATACTACAATTTGTTGCTATCGCATTCATTGCATTGCATTCAATGCGTCATCATGTTGTCAGAACTGATTAGATAATCGGAAAGGCTGCCGCGAACTCGCGGCGAGGCGCAAGACGGCAAAGCGCGCGTGACGAGTCGACCTCCAATCGGCACCATGGTCGCTAGTGCCCAATCTAACGTTTCCGTAGTAACGACACAGTTGTCTGCACGGAAAGAAAAAACTAGACAAAAAAAGCAAAGCTGAACGTCGTCGATGCCACTCCACACCTGCGCAGCTAGTGAAACCATGCACACATGCACGGCGTCGAAAACGAAAAGCGAACGACATAGATACCGCGGAAAAATATTTGGAAAAGCACTCTCCATATGCAGCGCGGCTCCACATTTGCGACGCTAACTAAAAGCGTAACAACGCAAAGTGGCATCACCTCTGTCATGTAACTCTTTCATGTACAGAACTCCATTTTTGGCGGAAAAGTTTTATTAAAAAAACAAAACGGTGAAATCTTGGGCCAAAAACTTTTTTCTCGCAAGAAAATAAAATTGCCATTTTTTTCTTCAAAAGATATGAGGCGGTCACACGAGCTTACCGCCATGCAGTAGGGTCTGCTGGTCACTTTCGGTGAAAGTAAAACTCTTCATTTGCATAGTCCTTAGCGTTAGCTACTCATGCGACATGCTTTCCTGCACTACCAACAAGTAGTGACGGTACATACTTATATATCTATAAAAAATTGGTGGACCCGTCAAGGTGCGCTTGACGGGTCCACCGTCAAGCGCGCCTTGAGGACGATGGCAGCCGGAAGAAAGCAAACGTAACACGTCACATTGAAGCCGAAACGAAATATCGTGATCTTTGTCAGATTGCCAAATGCTTTAAGATATGCACCATTTAAAATCCGACACGCGAAACTGACGTGTTTCAAGAGGAAAAAAAATCAAGGAAAGGTGGTTACCTGCTGGAAAGAGTTATAATGTAGTTCAAAGACTTGAGCAGCAATCAAAGCGTAGTTTTATTTTATTTTTTTAAATGCGAATGCATTTCCTAGTCGGGCGATGTCAGGCATCCAGGCATCCGGCGGTGGCGTCCACGGCCGCGGCCGCGCGCCGGCAGGTGTTATTTCTCCGCTCTCACTCCCTCTTCCATAGCAACAGCTGCGGGCGCGCGGGCTTATCCTCGCCCCTAGCAATCGGAGCATGTGGTGCGAGAGAGTGTAGGAAAGGGTAGGCGCAGTGCTTTGCCGCTCCTTCCCTCGCCATTCCCTTTCTTGCCTCCCTGCGTTCCACTCTCCCGTCCACTCGCGCCTCACTCTCGACCGTCCGCTGGCTGGACGCCTCTCACGGACATCCGGAAATGTGTGCTCGAGACAGCTGTGAAACGCCAACGCAGAGCCGAGAACGCTCGCGCCCCACTCTCCCGCAATGTTAGCTCGCTCCTCACTCTCGACTGTTCGCTGGCTGGGCCCCTCTGAAGGCGATGGCAGAAGTCGGTGAAGGCGAATGTCTGACGACAATGGTGCTCTCTCTCGGTGCGAGAAATGCATTCGTATTCCTCACGATTCCCTTCGGGGAGGTGGGGGCATTTTTTATTTTTTTTTGGTTTGGAGGGAGGGGGAAAGCACATCCGCGCATGAACCCGCGGCGAGAAGAACGGCAGCAACGCCAGCTCAAGGGGCGCAGGCGGACGCCGGCTCGAGGGGCGCAGGTCCGCCTGCACCCCTCGCGCACACCCGCATGAGAAGTTCGAGTGGCGCCTTCTGGTGGGAGACCTGGGTGACGTCACGGCACGGACTCTTCAATGCCAGCCGGCGCGCGCCTACATAATGATGCGCTCGCTTTGTGCACTGTTCCACCGTTTGCGTTCACTTTCTGTTCGTCTCAAGCTGCACATGAATGACGAAAACAGAATCAGTAATGTGCTTAGTAAAACAATAAATGCTTACTTTTGCTTCTGCACAATCGCGCATTTGATCATAGTAATGTGAAAGGGGTG